CGGACACTTTCATTTTTAATTAAATATTACATCCAGTTAGAAACAAAGTAATAATGTTAGATGATCGTGGAGGGCACTAGTCAAAAAAAATTAAAATTTACAAGACATGTGGATCATATTCGACCGAGATAATCAACTTTTAAAAGTGTCCGAAATTCGAGTTTAAGTGTCCGAAATTTGAATCGGCACGGTACTTAGATTTACTGTCCTGCCGTGTTTTTTTTTAGGTAGAGGGGCAATGGTCAAGCGTCTAGAATTAACTTCCAAAAGAAGCTTTTCCAATAATCTTCTTAAGAAAATATGAAGAATAAATGTTAATTATATGGATCATACCTAGAGAAGGTGTTCTAGTTATTGGTAGACGTTCCTATTATGCTGTGTTCCAATTATAGTCTATGGGATTTACATATGTTTTTCATGTTTTGGACCCTTTTTTTATATTTGATCAATAAACCTTGGAAAATTGCTACATTACTGCGTAGCTACTCAGGTTTACTGTTTTGCAGGTGTTTTTTTCTGTCAGAAGAGTGGAACGAAGGGCGAGCTTCTCAAAGAAGTTTCTAACTGAAGCTTCCATAGGAAGTTTCTTAAGAATATTATTATAGAATCTTCTTTGGAAGCTAATTCTAGACGCTAGCCCGTCGTTTCGCACCTCTACCTAAAATACACGGACAGGACAGTAAATCTAAGTAGATATGCAGTGGAGCAATTTTTCAAGGTTTATGGATCGAAATAAAAAAAAAAAATTGTGTCCTAAACATGAATAATATACGTCTAATTTATGGATCATCCCTATATTTTTAAGTGCGCAAACTTGATTTTCATGGATCACTTTATTTAGTTTAAGGTTCATTGCTGAATGTTTTATGGATGAATCAATTTCAATGCTCATTCTTTAGAAACTTAGCGGTACATTTTTACAATTGTGTTGCTAAATTTCACATAAAATATTGATAATATTGATATTTTTTAAGGATCATCCACACTTATTTAAGGATTTTCTGCGACGTTTTATGGATCATTTGGATGTTTTTAATGGAATGTTTTTCAATATTTTATTGATAGTTTTATCAATTCTATAGCTTCATACTTAGGGCTGCCATAGGATACACCCAGTGAGTGTTGCTGGGAAATGCAGATTTTTTTTAATAAATGTTGGAATTGCGTCTGCTGGAAGATAAGGTTGCTAAAATAAAATGAAGATCTTTTCCCGTAAGCACAAAACCTCTTTGTCCTTTCCACTTGAATCATAATCAATTACAAATTTCAACAATAAATCATTATTCAAATGGAAGCAATAAAGTTAACAGATTATAATATGTCATCTATTAAATGGTACATAAAATGTTAATAATGCAAAGGTTTCACCATATAAATCCAATGTTTCCAGTTATCCCGTCTTGTTGGTTGCAAGCTAGTGGTATTGGAACGATTGTGGCATCTAAATACTCCTTTGAACAGCTGACGAATCATCTCAAGGATCGCACCAAGCTATTTCTGATATACCACTTTTACTTCAAATCATACACAGAACATCATCTGCCACACAACAAGAATATTCACCGTCTTTTGCGTTCCTGCTGGAGAAAATACTTAACTTCCGATGGAATCAAAAGCAACGGAAAACTGAGTCACAGATTCAATGAGCGGAATACCGTTTATCGTACCTTATAGCGCGTACATAAACTGAAATTACAAATTATCACTTGCGATGCCACTAATTTCTGGCCCGGGAGAAAAAAATCAAACAACGCAGATGGCGACATCTCTTCTGATGCTTGCAAACATGATGATTCACGTTTTCTTTCTCGATTCTAAAACTTCCCGGGAAGCGAGAAAACCACCACACACTTATAACCGTTCGGGAGGCTGAGTGCCAGCGCAAATGCAGCCGAAAACTATGAAAGCGAACGCACGCAAAAAACAGAGAGCAAACATAAAACACAATCGTATCCAAAGGGGTTCGAAACTGCACTCATCAGAGCTCAAGATTTGCGAATATTTTTAGATAGATTCTATCCATGAACTACGTACATAGCTAAATATGGGGAGAGGTGTTGGCGTTTTTTTTAAAGTTCTTACAATGAAAAACAAAATCGCTAAAACGGCTATTTGCTTAATATGTGGACAACCTCATTCTGCTAAAAAATTGATTTCTTTTTTCAAAAACAACATGTGAAAAGGGTGTTCAAGCTTTTTGTAAACAAACCTTCTTATGCCCTTTTCTCGACACCCATATGACACAAACGCAAACCTTAAACATCACCGGGTAGGAAAAACTTTCCCCTTCTTGATGATATTGTTGGTTTGCGTGGGCAACCCTCGGTTGGCGAGAGAAGGGTCTACAAAGGTTTGTTTACAAAAAGCTTGTACGTACTTTACCCATGTGGATCTTGAATTGTATGTTTATTAGGGAAACTGGCACCTCATATGCCCCTATAGACACTTATAGTATCAATATATATAGAGGCTGAATTTTCAGATCCAAGATTTAAGTTGCAGAACTTATATTAAAAACATCGGGGAAATGGCTCTAATGTTGGCCTATGGATCTAATATTGGGCCCATCGTTAAAAATCTGCTATTTATGAATTTTATCTAGATGAAGGCGTCATTGGGACGGTACTAATGGATATTTTTGATCGCTATTGAAAATTTAGTCGATTGCTGAATTTATGTATGGGTCCAAATAAGGGGTATTTAGGCCGACATTAGATCCCTTTCCCTTAGTTAACAGCATGAGTTTTTAACGCCTACCCTCCATTTTGCCTAATGTAGTTACACCTAACGTCCATTATGTCTAACGTCGGTATTCCTAATGGAGTAAACCCGGAAAAAATGCGCCAACCTGTGAGTGGTAGTGAAAGGATGTAAACAAAGGAAAGTTTCTATTGTTCAAGAAATTTGACTTGAAAATTGAAAGTGATCGAGTCCGCACCGCTCAGGATTCAATCAAGCATATATTTTGAAGTTTTTTAACATTCTCTCGAAAGTTTGTTATTTTAACCATATTATTCCTTAGAAATAGTTCAGATTTTGATGCATCTACATAATCCAAAAAATTAAGTCATGCATGGTTGTTAATGCAAATATTAAAATATAACGTAGAACATTTGTGAACAATTTCACCAGGTTTTAACCAATTTTGAATTAATTTTCCAAAAAACTCGGGAACGGCATGCTGTGGAACTTTGGTGTCTTCAAAAGAGTGGTTCATTTTTTAAGATAAACCACTTTTCTGAAGACATAAAGTTTCTACAATATCAAGGCAAAAAGTTAGATAGTGGCACCCTCTTTGCGGATGGCTAGCGAACTATCTGTTTGTGTAAATAGATTTGATTATAACGAAAAACTTCTTCGAAGGTACCAATCCTCAGGTATGTTTTGTTGAAGGTGAAGTTTTCCGCCCCGAAAATATTTTTTTTTCGGCACATTTTTATTTTTATAAAGATATTGGGAAAAAGTATAAAAAATCAAAGAAAATCAGTTTTCTTTAGATTTCTGAGAAAATTTAAATGTAATATTTTATTTCTACCTCATAGTTAAAAAATTGGATCCTCAGCAAAACCGAAAAGTCGCTGTGATTTTTGGAGTCCAACTTTATGCCATAATGATTTACGAAGAATGTTTTTGCACGTGAATTTTCTTTATAAAAATAGAAAAAAGTGATGTTTTTAGATTTTTGATATTTTCCAATAGGGTAGAGCGCTACTTCGTCTTAATCGCCCATTTCCGTTCTATCAATAAGAAAAGATCAATAATATCAATGATTTCACCGTGCACAAATCAATAATAGGTTTGTTCCGATGCGTTAGTTCATTAGCTACAACATAAATTCTATTGAAGTGCATTGTATGAATATTTTCGCTCATTGTTCTCAAAACAAAAAAAGCGCTCATTGTGAACCCCTTTTTCTACGTTCATCCGTAGAACGAAGTAAATCTTATGACGTTTCAATGGGTTAGGACGGAATTGAAACTCGTTGGGCGAATTTAGAATCAAGAAGCAGTATTAGATTTAAAACAATATCTCAACAATTTATAACGCTTTATCAAATCCAACGGTACGTATGGGAAGGTGAATAAATTTAGAAGTCATCTTTGACAAAAATGTTCCTTTTTCAAACCCGTTCAAAATAGAGAGGTAAAGCGCGTGCTTAAAAATCGAAACGTAATGCTTTTTTTTCGGAGCCGTGGACTTACCCTTAAGAGATATTGGGTTTGTCATCTTAATTGATGGCAGTGATGGAACAGTTCATATAAGTTCAATATGACTCGAGATTATGTGAAATTTTTCGAAATTTTTCAACCCTGTTTGGAAGGCATTTAAACAATAACAGTCTTGAATAGGTACTTGACTTTCTTCATTGTCTTTTTGCACCCAGAAAACTCTTTAAAAATCTCATGGAATCATTTGAAAGCCGCACTTTCCTAAGGCGAAGAATCCTGTTATTATCGCATCCTGTTGCAGCCTGACGCTGACTGTTGTCATTCTAGGCCGTGTATCTTCTTCGCTCCGAGTTCGTTAAATTAACTTTTAAAATTTCTCCAACGAGCCTTGAAGCTAAATTTTAAAAACGAGAACCACATCAAGCTCGCCCAAAATGTCAGCCGCCTGAAGCCCCGAGCATCGACAAAAATTGTCTATAATTTCATCGTACCGACTGATGGATACCGAGATGATGGTACCTTCGACGCACCACGGCAGCGCAACGGCACACGTCTCATTCGCAGTCGAAATTGGCCATCACCTGCCCAGGTTTCTTGTTTCGAATGGTGCATTTTTTTGCTGTCTTAGTCTTGGTTTTCAACGTTCTGCTTTTCGCTTATTTTGGAGCATAAATTTTCATCAACTTCTTCGGTTCTTGATTGGGTTCCTCCGTTTGCTACTGTTGTTGTTGGGTTAACACGAGGGGCTTAAATCTAGGTTAGACTTGGAAAGTCGCTGGAGTGTAAAGAAAATCTTTTCTTCCGTGTTATTTTTTTGATGCGAAAACTTACCCATAAAGCAAAGCTGCACCGGCTATCGAACCTCCGCACTGTGCTATCATATAGAGGATAGCTCGCAGGGGAGATATCATGCGGGTTATGGCCAGTGAGATCGTCACAGCCGGGTTGATGTGGGCTCCTGGAAAGAGAAAGTGATATTTGATGAATTGATAAGCCACCGTCGTATCCCAGAAGTTTCACTTGGTTTCTCAATTCGTCCCCGCAAACTTCTCCAATCCAAACGGCCGAATGAACCAACTCAAATTTGAGTTTCGTTCACTCAAATTTGCATAAACATAGACAGAGTAAAATTTTGCTTTTTGAATGTGAGGAAATCGAGAGAGGTTTCACTCAGCATATCAGTATACTTCTAGGCTGAGTAAAATTTCCGTTAATTTTCCTCAAATTCGAGCAAATTGTTGAGGTAAAGCGCACAATATTCAACTCAGAGCAATCTACGTTTTTGCAATTTTGAGTGAAAAACCACTCCATTTCGAGTCGATCTCGTCGGCCGTGCATGCTCTCCGTTGTAAATCCCCCCGGTCTCAAGGGTGAAAATCCCTTGCACTTAGTTCCTTTCAACACTAAAAGCTCCCACTCTCAAGATATCAATCAACTTGGTGTTAAAAACCCCCCTCGTCGGTAATCTACGACAGCTCACCTCCACCAGAGCGAGCTAATCCCAAGCTAGCCGCAACCATCATCGTCTGCGGAAAACTCATGTATAAACAGACAAGAAAATTGAAGATTTATCTTTGCCTCGTAAAGTTTTCCCTCAGAAACTTCTGATTCCGCCGTTCGTGGTGGAGTCTATATAGTTTGGTGCAGTAGCAAAGCTTCAAGAAGCAGCTGTCTTCCTTTTTCGGGAGGATTATTTTTCGCTCTAATCCTTGGACGTGTTCCCGTCAGTGGTGCATTGCAATGCGTACCCTCCAAGAAAAAAAAAAGTGAAATTGAGAGAGTAACGTTGTTCAGGCAATGTGTGGCGATGCTTATGATAATGACTCTGATAAGTTTCTTCACCCGAAACGGTCCTCGAAGGTTGAAAAAGGGGAAAGCGTCCGATGCCATTTTGGTCCATACCAGCACCACCACCAGCAAGGCACTCTTGAAGTTCAGCGAGCTTCGAGCAAGAAGAGCACCTACTGGATGTAATTGCAGGGTCGAACGGCAGTCGAACGAGAAGGCATTGCAGTTTGTTCTCTTTCTCATCAAAAGACGGTGTGAAGGAGACAAAGGGACCGGGGAGAGGGAAACATGTTAAAAGGTGGTTGACCTGGTTTTTGGAAAGTTTTCCATCATTGTTTTACGGTTTCGGTCTATCATTATGTGCATGACTCCTTTTCTTTTAGGAAGGAAGAATTTTGTCAGGGATGAAGTTGGATCAGTTGGGTATGAATTTTGTGCGTGTGCAAATAGTCTTTTTGGATTTAGGGATTGGATCTGATTTTCGGCCTCTAAGGTTGTGCTGCACTTAACGTGTCGTTTTTGTGTGTGTCGCGGATTTTTTTTTTTTACGAATGGATTGTTCCTACTACAGATGACTTCTAAATTTATTTACCCATTCATATGTACCATTTGATTTGATAAAGAGTCCCAAATTGTCTATATTTTGATCAAAATTCGCCTTGACACCAGTCCCGAAGTGACGTTTCTTCACACACATTTTGACAGTTCCTTATGAGGTTTTGCGTTGGAGTGAGAGAATAAGAAAAAGTCAGCCATGTTTCACACATAGACTGACAGTTACATATGAGATTTCTCCATAGGAGTAAAGAGTTACAGAGTTCTCGTTAACGCCAATACAACACTGTCTCTTGATTCCAAATTCGGCCTACGAATTCCACTTTTGTGCAAACACATAGGAACGTCATTGAACTTACTTTGTCATACGAATGTAGGCAAACATTTATATGGAAAAATGGATTCGCTTGGAGTGCTTCTTTTGTTTTTGAGAACAAAGGGCGTAAATATTCATAGTTTGCGTTCTTAAAGGCTTTGTATTGTAGCATTTGCACTAAAGGATCGTACCAAACGAATAATTTAAGCAATAACGTCGAAATCATAGATAAGGGAAAGTGGGGGCAGTTTGGCCTCCTGATGAAAATCGTCACAAATGATACCGAATTCAGTGAAAAATTCGAATGATTTTTAGCCAAATGGATCGTTCCAAGCCCTATACTTTCCCCTGTGTAGCATAATAATCCCATTAGCATTTTTGGTGAACATGAGTTATACATTGGAATCGATTGTCGAGTACCTTTACCATGTGTTTTTATCTGATTCAAATAGACACTTAGAGTCTTGGCAAAAGGTGTAGTAAGTTATATTTAATGAAACTTTGACATCAGATTCCTAGCTCTTATACTTTACGAGATATACATATACCGTTTTTTTTTGTAAAAAGCTCCTTACAATCATAATTGTTAGATACATTTTTTGTACCTTCTATACAAATATTTTTATGGAACATTGTAACTCGCTATCTTTCCAAAAAAGAAAGTTATGTTAAAATAATCGATTCTTTAGGAGTATTTTCACCTTAAATAGCTATTTCCGGCGCAAAATGGCGCAGATAACAGGGTATGATTCTGAAACTATAATTATTTTGCTGTTCAAAAATTAAATAAACTTTTGTCGATATGAGATTTTACATGTGTTATGTTCATCACTACCTAACTCCAACAAATGCAATTTTTTATATTTTTTTTTTTATTTCAGGAGATAGCAGGTTGCAATGTTCATCTGTCTCAAAATTTTTTGTTGAGGATACTAGTAAATCTAAGAAAAAAGCTATACTAAAAACAATCTGAAGCCAAAAATACCAAACTTTGTCTTTATATGCGCCAACAAGTGGATTTCTTTTATTTTGAATTATAAAAAAAATAAACGGTAAAACTCATAATAAATTTAAAAAAGGTTGAATAAAAAAGGAGTTTCTAACTTTTCCATTGACTGAAAAAGGTTCTTTTTTAAAGAAATTTTTTGTAGATTATTTTTGCTAATGAAATAATTTGGTTATCTACTTGGCAGCGATTATAGTAAAGGTAGAATTTTAAGCAATTATAAATTAAAATATAAATATTTTTCTTTTGAATGAAAATTTAGCAATACAAAAGACCTAGTGCTAGTTTTATAGGTAAAGTGACTTCTGTGAACTTTGTCAGCTAAAAAGCTCCTTCTTACGGATGTTTTTAAAATATGTGTGGTTTTCAAATTATTAATATACAGCCGTTCCATAGCAAAACGATATAGTGGTTCTCAGAATTTCGTAAAAATTTGTAGTTCTGTTCTTTGTCACAAAATACTAGAACCTTATTTTTTTATATTAGGGTGACCATTTCCATGTTAGGGTGGTAAACAAAAAATCGTTTTTTTTTCAAAAATGCTTTGTTATTTTGAACCCCTAAAACTATTTCTTAGATCAGAATATCAAATAAAAGGTAATTAAAAACATTTTTTAGTAAAAATATAATGATATTGAAAAAAGGGGTGTTGTATTGAAAAACCATTATTGTGTTTGTTTTTTTATGGTTTTGATAGTTTGTAGACAGAAAGGTAAATATAAAACAGCAATTTTGGGTTCTTTGATACGTATTTCAACTACAATGTACAGACTTTGTCAGTGTCATTCCCACTAAAGACTTATCAAAATCTAACCCCCTTAAGTACTTATCCCCTAGATAACTCAGGTAACGATTTGATGCTTAACAAGTCTTGATAGAGCTGGAATTAGGACGTAACAGCCTTTGTAAACAATGACTTCTCTTGTTGATTACTCGGAATTCAAGTCACGCCTACACAAACCAACATATCCATCGGGTAAGAGAAGTCTTCCTCTACTTGATGGTAATATCGATTTGCCAGGGAGAGCCATGACTTCCGAGAAATCATCGAGAGAAGTCATCATTTACAAAAGCTGTTACGCCCTAATTCCAGCTCTATCTAGAAGTGTTGTTTAAACGATTTTAATTCAGCCTTTGTTTGAATAATTGTTGTACCTAGACCACGTTAACCTTTGTCCAGCTTTTAAACATCTAAATCTGGTGATTTTAATCAGCGTTAAGCTTAACAGTAATAAATATTATGCTTTTTAAGGCATTACATAACAGTCTTTTCCAACCTTTATTCAGCTTTCTAGTTTATTGAAAAAAAAAAAATAAAAAAAAAATGGAAGACCGCTACTTCATATCTTATATTTTTATGAGACTGCTTGCTGACTATATTGTTAATATAAGTCTAAAAATTACCTTTGCATTTCGGGATCCGAACCGGCAGTCACTGATTCACAGGCGTAAACTATACCTACTGGACCACTTAAGCATATGTGTGGCAAAAGGTATGATCATTAACTTGAAACACGTCAAATTTAAGTTGATTAATAGCAACCGGAAGAGTATGATGCTATTTTAATGCCATAATTAAGTTATATTGTTGAAATGCGGTCTGAAAACAAAGTGCAATATGAAGTGGTGAACAGACAAAACACAGGAATACGAATTTCAATACTTCCGACGTCATCGCAGTCCACTTCTACCTGCAACTTTTCCTAAAAAAAACTCCTCTTCCTTGTCTCCACTGCTGGCGCTGCTTGGGATTAGAAAGGTATGCAGTGAATTTAGAAGAACTTAAATGTCGGAAATGCAACAAGTGTCACAGACGACACTTAACACTATTGTGCAGTAGATTCATATTATTCGCATTGCTGATTTATCGAGTAGTGTTAAGCTTAAATAAGTCTTGTTCCCCCTTTAGATCAGCTTATTTACTGAGGTTGAATTATGGGGATACAATCCGCTTTATGCACTACTAACCAACTATATATTCTTCTTCTTCTTTTTCTTCTTATTCGCATTTCAAGCTTATTTCTAAGTGCATATGAGCTTAATGCGTGTTCTCAACGTAGTGTTCTAAATGCACTTCCTCAGCTATTAATTGAGAGCTTTCGTTGCCAATACCAATGCATGATTTGTATATTGTGTGGCAAGCACAATGATACTCTATGCCCAGGGGATTCGAGAAAATTTCCAACCCGAAAGATTCCATCGACGGCACCGGGAATCAAACCCGCCGCCTCCGGCTTGGTAATACCGTGCCTTTACTGACTATGCTATGAGGCCCCTATATATTCAGCCTGGT